CAGGCAAATGCCTGCGCAGTACAGCACAGGCAGAATAAGGGATGTTGAAGAAAAAGGGTCTGAGCCCATATAGAATATGGATCTCAGATAGGTTCTGGTCTTGCAAGTCTCATGATCCCTGGGAAGGACAGATGGGATGAAAAACACAAGGCCGTGGAAAGGAACTTAAAATCAGGCACTGGCCACCCATTGTGATATAAGCTCCATCACCCCAAATGCCAGCAAGCCACGGAAGCAAAATACAACTGTCTTGTATTCTTGCCAGTGAATACAAGGGAAATAATCATAGTAACCCCGCCCCCCCCCACTACTCAAAGGCTGATCTTTTGTAGACATACGATGTTAAGTTATTATTATTGTTACTACTACTACTATTTCTGCTACTACGAGATCCTGATGACTGCAACACCCATCTACAGGATGGCAAAGGTGTCAAAACCCATCCACTTGCATCAAAGCTGTGGGGCTTGTCCAAAATATCTCAGATCCCAAATGCTTTGCTGGACTTCCATCCTAGATCTCAGTCAGGGACTGGCCATCAGGTACATTGCAAACAGTCATGTGATATATCTGCAATGATTAGGATCTTCCTTTCATCTTACTTGGGGAAAGAGAAATAAAGTTAGCTTGGCTGTAAAATATTTCAACTCTCCAAGTTTTCTGCATCCTGGAGGTAAGAACATTTTCTGACTACAGTGCCAAGGTGTTAAAAGATTTAGAAGAACAAAGCTCCCAGCTCTACAAGCATCAGTGTCTTATCCATTGTGACATTTTTCTTTACACCAAATATAACAATCACTTTGTCCAAGTTAGGAACAAAAGTGAAGCTGCAGATCATTTGAATGTTGCTGGGGAAAAACCCGTGCTACATATACTAGACTGGCTTTAAGGGTAAGGGAAGTAGGCAGCCAACCACCCTAGCTAGGAGTTAGGAGCAGCAAAAAAGCACGTTTGCAAATATGAAGCATCTATTATTCCCCAGCAATATTTGTTTTCTGTTCAGATTATCAAATTGGCAGTGTTATGGAATTTGCTGTCCAACAACAGCAGACAATAGGCAACTCATTGTATTGAATGAGTCAGCTGATACTTGGTTGTTTAGAAGTTCCTGGATTAACTTGTATTTATGCACACATGTAGTCAGCTAGTGATCTTCAGTGATAACACAAATCTTCATGGTCAAAACAGAAAGTAGAAGTGGCAATTGTTTATGAACATGCAAATATCTTTCTGATGCTGAAGATTGCAACTGAAAAGTGGAAAGAGAAGCCAACAGCATGAAACAGAGTCCAGCACTAGTTGTGAATATTTTGAGGGACATGGTTAAGGAGGAAATCCTTTGTACTTTGAGCTGTTGGGCCCAAGTCATTAGTAAGCAAGAAGGGATGACAGTGGTTTTTCAGTTCATTTCTTCAGAAGGAACAACTGAAGTGAGAGAAGGCAGTGTTATGACCACATACCTTTTTTGTTGAATTTTTGGATATGACATAGTGGCACCATCATGAGAGGTGCACCTAGAACAGTTAATAGAAATGGGAATCTCATTTAGTGATCTGAGTGGTCAGGGCTACAATAATATGGCAAACATAAAAGAGAAACATAGTAGAGTTCAGAAGAGAAGCTGAGACCTTAACAAGAGAATGCTTTTGGTCCTGCATATTCTTTGAATCGTATACAGAAGCTGTACGGTTTTTTGATATGCTTCAAAGCATTTATACTTTTATTGCAGTCTTGCTGCAATACTGGGAGATAAGGGGCTAACATGTGACCATACAGTTTCCAGAACTGTTACATGAAACAAGATGGGAAAGCTGAATTGATGTTATTTGAGTATTTTAGTACCAAGACTCAAAAGCCTATGATATTTTGGTTTCAGTTTCCAAGGATTCAAACCTTAAAGGGACCCAAAGGAACCAAAACTTAGAAAACAAATGCAAGCGGTTGTCTTGGGTGATGTTCAATTTTAAATTATGTACATTGTAGTACTTTGGCATGTTATTCTTCATGAAGTCAGCATCCTCAGCAGCATACTTCAAAAACTTGAAGTGGCTATAGAGCAATCTATGCATCAGCTAAAAGACTCAAATAATGTCTCTGTAAACTGCCATTCTGATAAGGAATTCACAAGTGTCCTGACTGCTGTTAAAGAACAGTTTGAGCTGAAAATCAAAGCTAGTTTGTCACAAGAAAAACCACTAAGAGTACAAATTAAAAAGAGAATGTTTGATTTACATAAGATCAGAGGTGAACCATTAACTAACTATAAAACCAACTTTTTCTCCTATGCTTTGAGACACCACTTGAAGAAAGACTTTCACGATTTGAGGAGCACCATAAGCTGCACACTTTCTTTTACTGTGTCTCCAGCAACATTGAAGATGCCGGGTGAGGGTTTACAACAGCAGTGCACTGTGTTAAGCAAAGCAGCAGAAGACAGACAGCCTGGAGAGAGACATCCCGTGACGTAAGTGCCCTGGACCTTTCCATTGAACTTCAAGTTCTTGGCAGGCAGCTGAAACTTGGAATGTACCCAAAAGCTGCTTTGGAGTTTCTATGCAAGAATACGGTTTTTGTCCCTGTTTCCAAATCTCCCATTGCAGTTGGGGGTCCATTAACACTGTCTGGGTCTGCTGCAAGCAGAAAAATGCAGTTTTTCAAAGTTCATACTTAAAGACATGTTTACTTTCTACTATGGCTCTTTTTTTGGCTGGTACACCTTGATTTAATTTCAGCTGAATGCTAAATTACAGAGAGTATTGATCTGAAACATGCCCTCTGCTAGCACACATGTAGCAGAAAAAAGTAAAGCTCACTAAGATGCTAACTGCCACTCCCAAATTATGGGGACCAGAGACTTTAAAGGAATGGCTCTGTGTTTGATTTTCAAGTTCTTCACTTTCTTTGTACTAATAAAAGTATGAAACAAAAATAATGAATCCAAGTCTTTCAGTATTGTATTGGGCAATTAGGAAATTAACTGGGGAGTGTGGCAAAAAAAATATTACCCCCAAATTAGGCTACAGCTGGTACAGAACATCTATTCACAAAAAATATAGAGGTTTCTTATCTGACTAGTGAACTGCACCAGCAAAAGCAGAATGATTCACCTCTACCATCACAGCTGATAGAAAGCTTAGATAGCTAGACAGAGCGAGACAGAAACCAGGAGTGGGATGCAGAAGTTGTGACTCCCAGACTCCTGGTTCAAGCACAAGGCAATGCACTTCCTTTGGGACGATATCACTGCTGGCATCATCTGTTAATTCTTTGCTATAAGAATAATACTGTGGTGGAGACTTTGGCTTCCTGTATGCTTTACGGCCCCAACTGAACTTTGGGTGCTTCCGGAGATAATTATTAACAAACAATGATAGTCATTCATGACATCACCCATCTTTTCTTGGAGAATACACTCTGATGATGCATTGAACCAAATGTTTAGTATCCTTGTTCTTACCTCCGAAGTACATCTAAAAGAACAATTTTCCTCTGACAAGTAAGGCATGAAGTGTGAGTTTGTGGCTGACAAGTTCAGGGAGAAGCTTGCAATGAGGCAATTAGACAGGGAAAGTGCTGATTAGAAACACATGGCATAGGAAAGATACACATCTGGGAGAGAAATACGATCAAACACTTGATAAAGCAGCTGCTTGAGGTGTTTCGAGGTTGGTGGGGTCTCAGTTAGACCTATGAGTTGTCAACCTATTGGGTTTCTTAACTTTTCCTGGGAAGTATCTGGAATCATGCATGCAGATGGGATACATTAGAAATACGACTGTGGTAATCCAGTCGAGCAATTCCTTTATTTTCAAATTGAAGGAGTGGACCCTGAGGAGCTGAGTAATACCATGGATAGCTCCTCTCTGCAACCCAACCTACTGGCTTCTGGACAAGCAAGAGAGACAGAAGAAACTCAGAGTCCTTCCCCCGATTAGGAAGAAAAGTTTGGGAGGGAATTTTCTACAAATATCCTTACAAGATCAATACCTCCAGTAAAGTTGTTTGTTAGGCTGAGTTTTTCAGCACCGTATATCCGTTTTTATTTATTTTTTAATATAGACATTAGAACGAGGCAGAAGGTGTTGATTTATGTAATATATAAAAATATTGTTCTTATCAAAATCAGAACTTATAAAATGTGTAAATTTGGGTGAAATTTTATTCTGGGGAAAAAGGTGAAGCATTTTAGTGATATTGGAATGTCCCACGTCAACGTTTTTAGAATGATACTCTTCGATTTTTTTTTTTTTGCTTTGAAATTACGTTGAAA